AAAGTTTGAAAAAGGACAAACCTCACTCTAGGTATTAGTTTAGCGTTTTGCTTCCCACCTCCAACTTTTCTTTAAATGGGCTGCTTGATTAGACAATTGACATCAGCTTATTGGAATTTCAAACCCTTCCTTCACATTTATAATGTCTATAGCAATCAAAATAATAGCTGCCACTTGTATTGTACTTTGGTGTTTCAACATTTTCACGTTACTTTGAAAGCTGAGATGTAAGCGGCCCATGGAGAGTTTTTGTGCAGATACTCCTGACACAGTCTTGGATTGTGGCTATGGGGTTCCTTTTTTGCTGTTCAGGTGTTACTGCCACCTTCCTAAAGTTCTGCTCAAAACCTACAGTGAGTCACTTGGGGCACTGCAAAGGCCAAGGCTGAATTCCTTAGTCTATTTAAAACTTTTCAAATTTGAAAATATACCACTCCAATTTAATTTCCTGTTTTTTTCTATATAATATGTTTGCTCTATGGAATATTAGTTTGCTTTAAAAGGGACAGATTTGAGTCATTTGTAGGAAAAAGGATGCACCTTGAGACCATAATGTTAAGTGAAGTAAACCAGAGACACACAAGTTTGAATATTGTATGATTTCTCTTATAAAACTAAATAAATTAAGCTGCAAGACAATAAGTAGATAATAGGGAACAGGGAGATAGATTGTTTTGCAAATGGAAAGGGGACCAAGTGATGGAGGGAGGGGAGAGAAGGGGTGTAAAAAGAATTAAAGTATGTTATGTATGAATTAAGATTTGCACACGTATTAACTCTCCATAATGAATGTAAGCATAATGTACTGCAAACACTTAAAATAAAAATAAAAAAGAAGGAATTACTGATGGGTTCTGCCCATGTGAAACACTGCCAGGCTCAGCATGGTGCCTGCCCAACATGATACTGGCCAGCTCATCCCTGCAACACTGACTTCCGTGTTCTTGCAAACCCAAAAATCGAACTTCCCATTTTTCGTGTGAGAGCCAACATTCCCCCAATCAGCTGTCATAATGTCAGTCTGCCCACCCCTTCAAACTCCACCCTCTGTCAAACCGAATAAAAGCTCACAGCGTCTTTGTCCTCAGGGGAGCTTGTACTCTTCCACAGCCCTCCCGTGCCTGCAATAAAGACTTTTATCTTGTTTTTCTTTCTTTGTTCTTGCTTTTCACTACCCTGAGAGAAAACCTATCAGTTACAAAAATCAGGCTCCAATTAATGTATTTTTATCCTTTCCACCTCTTAGGTGTGGGTGTTATTTTTTCTCTCCATGTGGAACTATCTCTCTTAATATTTTCTTATTAAAACCTCACCCTCCCATTAGAACTTGAACCCAGCACCTTCACTGACCTACATCCTTAGCACTTTTTTTAAAAAAAAATGTATTTTGAAACAGCACTTCACTAAGGCACAAAGTTGCTTGGGCTGGATTCAAACTCTCACTCTCCCTGCCCCAGACACCCAGAGTACCGAGGTCACAGGTGTGTACCACTGTGCTCAGCTCCGTGGAGCTTTCTTTGATGACAAAGAAAATATTTTTTTCTTTAACTAACTTTTACTACATTGTATATATGACTTCTACTTTTGATTTTTGAAAAAAGTAATCTAAAGTGTGTTCAAATTTTCCTATTTCATACATGCATATATCTCTTTTAAGCATCCTACCTGCTGTGATAGATGGAAACCTGATTCTCAATGCCTTTGTACAAAAAGGCTTCAGTTTTATGTATTTATGTGACAGTCCCTTGTGGCTTTTGGTTGGAAGAAGTCATTTTTAACAAGGGCTTTGAACTTTCCAGTGGTGCTGGACATTTTTTCTCTTTCTTGTCAGCCAGAAAGGGAAGTACATGGTTGACTGTGGGTGGATGTTCTTACCAGACCAAGCTAGAATCAACACTCACTGCTTGTTCTCATATTGCTGTAGAACTCTGTCCCAGGCCCAAGATGGGACAGGAATATCTAGGTTTGTGCTCACAAGAAAGAGCAAATAGATATAATTAATTGCTTCTTTATAGTCCCTACCTCAATTTCTAAGTGAGACAGAAAACAAGGCACAGAAAATGGTATTTTAGGGTGTCAGCAGCAATACCAGAGGTGAACACAGAGGCTGAGTAGGTGTGTGAGAGTCACCTCATGTGGGCGGAGGACATCAGGAAGTTCTCCCAGAGGAGCTGAGCCCTGAGCTGGGCCCTTTGGAACATCCGAATGGGAGTGGCTTTGATACCATCTAGGCTTCATGATACAGACAGGATCCTGTGCCCTTGGAACTCTGTAGGTGCTCAATGAATATTCAGGACACTGAATAATCAGAAGGGGTTTGATCCGTGGAGCTTGAGAACTGCACTAATGCATTTTCATTGCTCTTCAGTCCCACCTCCTACTTCTCCTGGAAGAGTGACTCTAATTTTATTCCCACAGATCTGATATGAGTTTAATAAAGAAATCATGCAAATTGTAAGTGAAGTCCCATAAATATTTCACCTCACCCCAGTCTTGGTTCCTTGCATCCAAAGAAATTAGTGAACTGAGTGTTGGCCAATGCATGTGACATGCACACCCAGGCCACACTGCCAGTTGGAAAGTCCTCCACAACTGCTGTGCTCCCTGACTAAGCAGGAAAAGGAACTCTGGGTTGCTCCATGCCAGGTCAGGTTCAAAAGTCACCACATCCATGCCTCCTCCTAAATGGCTCTTGTCTTGTTCTCTATGCTTTATCTTCTATTCGGCAACTGATGCTGTTTCCCTTGTTCTTTAAAACCAAGGGTACGCTCCTTGGTCCATCAGACACGGACCTTCAGGTCATGGCCTCTGCCCCTCCAGTCACCCTCACCCACTGCTCCTGCGGTCCGCCCCACCTGTCCCGCTGTCGCAGGCACTACTCACATTTCTTTAAGCACCTCGGTTTTTCTCACCTACAGGCCTCCGTATGCGCTGCTTGCCGCCTTTGCCTGGGATGCATGGGCATAGGGTGACTCTGATTCATCCTTCAGGTCAATTTTGAGGGGAAGTTGTCCTGATCCCTGCTACACATGCAATGGGCACAGATTTGCTCTGTGTGCCCAATGTTCTGTAGCCCCATCCTTTCTCATATTCTACTCTGCTGAAGCATCTGCTGTCTGCCTACTTCTGCTTCTGCTTCTGCTTCTGCTTCTGCTTCTGCTTTTGCTTCTGCCCCAGTGTGAGCTTGCTGGAGGACATGAAGGCTAGGGGTCTGCTTACCCTGCATTCCCCAGCACAGCACCTGGGCGGTGCAGACACACAGCGAGCACCTGTACCATGTGAGCCAGGTGAAGATGGAAGGGAACTGTCAGGTCCACAGGGAAAAGGGGAAGGGGGAGATTTTCAGAACGAAGAAGGGATTTTTTTTTTTATGTTTACTGCTGCATCTCCAGCTTCTGGCATGTAGTAGGCCTGCAGTGCACATTTACCAAAGAAGAAATGAAATCAGCGAGGGGGATACTCTGCCAACCTGAGTGGTCTCTTTATGAGTCTTTCGATCTGCTTTGGTCTGAAGGGTCCTGTCTTCTGAGAGGAAGGCTCAGGACATGACTACTGACAGCCTTAACTGGGGGCTGTGCTTCTGTGGGCTCAGATCTGAGCTCTACCCCTGGCCAAACCAGGGATCTTAAGAAAATCAATTAACTTTTTCATGCCTCAGTTGTTTTGTCCAAAATTGAAGTATGAATGCTATTAAATGAGCTAATACTGTTAAGCCACAAAATAATTCTGGTTGCATAATAAAAACTAGGTATTTACTACCAAAAAGTTGAGGTGCTACAAAATGAGAAGTATGTGCTACCCACTTCTCCTGCAGGCTGGTTACTGTTACATCATGGGAACCCAGGGGTCAGGGAGATACTTGGGAAGAGAAAGCCAGTCGGGAAACCCTTTACTCCTTATTGGTGACCTGGTTCACTGTCAGCCCGGTAGAGCACGAGTTATAGTCTTGCTAAGAGCTTATTTTCTTTAAAACATCTTTGAAAGTTATTGTGGACAAATGGCAATGAGATGGGGTAGGTGACCCCATCTTTGTCAAGGGGACAACTTTTTAATTGAATGCACCCTGACTTCTTAGTTATTTGACTAGAAGTGAGTTGGTTCCAACAGGTCCCCCTCACTCACCCCACAATGGCTGTGGCTATTGCTGAGAGCTCCTCAGGTGTAGAGAATGGCTGGGATGTCTCTGCTGTTGGAACTATCAAGAGAAGGCCAGCTCTTCCCACTCAGAGGCAGATAGATTAGCGTTTGTCTCTTTAGCTTCCTGGAAAGCAGAACTATAAACATGAAGCATGCCAGTAGTTTAGTGAGAATACAAGACAACAAGACTCTGAGGTGTTGAGTGACTGAAAGAAAATTTAATTAGAAATGTGAAGAAAATTGCGATTATATCAAGAAATATTCCACTTGAATGTATCTGGGGAGTGTTAAAACCCTAACTTCCTTGATAATTACATTGTAGTGACAATCACAGAAACAATCATAAGATGGTAAGGTATTGCCTAATTCAAAAATCATTGATTTTTGTCTGAATACATATACATACTTTTACACCAAAAGTCTGACTTTAACTAACTGAAAAGTGAAAGAAATGACAAGTCTTGTCTTCCTCTCCTTGGCTAGGAGATCACAAGAAATAAACAAGTAAGAGAATTATTTCCTTGCGATCGAACTTGAGTAAAGTCACTTTTTGAGCAGTGGACCCTCATAATAGGAAGGCAATGACAATTGGATGATTTCCTTCTTTATTATGTAAGTAGAACTTTGTTCTGTTATGAGGACAACATAACAGGTTGACATAGATCTTGTGTCTCCTTTAACTCAAGTTTAGAGAATCATTACAACCTGGAACCTCAGAGCGATGAACATAGCTTTCATCTGTGATGGACACGGGCCAGAACCTCTCCCACCTTGGTCATCTTTGAAGAGAGACCCTGTGAGGTCATGAACACAGCATCAGGAATATATTACTGTTCCCTATGTTTAATGAATAGGCCTCAGAATAATTTTGAACAATAAACATTTATTAATTATGGCATCTAAATGAACACGAAAGACATGAAAATTAAAATACAATAATATAATTTTACTCATGCAGCACTTTCAAAAAGATGAGTCTAACCTAACAAGTCCTTGAGCTTGTGGAAGGACATGAGCTGGCCAGCTATGGAGGGGACAGGGTACTGGAAGCCCTTTATTGGGGCAGGGTCACTGTCGTATAGGTGGACTGCTGGGCTCCTGTTGGGTGGATCTGGGTCACGTTTCTTCTGGTGCTGGACTTGCTGTGAATGCTTTTGAGTGCCTTTTTCACCCACGTGGCTTCTGGGTGAGCACAGACTTTCAATTCACGTTTGGTAATAAAACTGCAATGTAAGGAAAACAGAGATGATATTAGCCGCAGTCTCCAAGCCCCAGACCAAACAAAGGAAGCTTACCTAGACATTAACCAAAGAAATAAACTAAGAACTCACAGACTGCAAGGCACACTGTTCTCTTGTCATTGCTTTAACATAAAGGAGGAATGTCTCTAGGTAGATCCTGGATCCTTTGCCCCCCATAATGTACAGACTTTTTGCCACCAGTTCGGTCAAATGTTATAATTAAACTGGACAATTAAAATCCCCTAGTTAAATCCCCTTTAGTTCAGTTATTACATCTCCTATTCTTTTTCAAACCTAGACACACTTATTTTTTGGATTGAAGGTGATTTCTTTAATTTCTTAGAGTAAAGCCTATAAATATGTGTTGGGGGAGGGGAACTGCTACTCTGAAAAATGAGATCTGGAGAGAGAGTGACCTTCGATGCCACTCACTGACACTGTGTGCTCGGTCCTCTGCCTGGTTCCATGCTTACTCGGGCTCTGCAGGCAAGTCCTGGCCCAGGGCCGTCATGTCTAACCCTCAATTGTACAGCTGGGTTCAGCACTCATGTGGTTTCCAGCCAGACTCTTCTGTAAGACGACTTACATTCTTTATTTGGAGGCTGAATTTTGGCAATGATCATTATTTACAAGGGCTGCATGAAGACATGGTAAATACGGACAATGAGGGGGCTGAGGGTGAAGTGGGGGCTTCCCTCCACTCCGACCTGTATTTCCTGACGGTTCTGTTTCTCTACACCAAGCCTGCCACGGGGAGACACTCACATCACTGCCCTCATGGGGCCCTCCTTGATGGTGTAGGTCTTGATTCTGTTCAGTGGCAGTGGGTGGACTCTTAGACTCATACAGACACTGCTTTCGGGGACTTCACTCCCCACCCCTGGTTAAAAAAATGAATAAAACTGTAAGTCAATAATCACCTGTTGAATTACTCCAAGAATGCGTTAGGAACATATGGCCACTGTTCCTTTTGGGAGGAGATGGTCCTTACTGGCAACTTTAGTCTCCTGTACATTGTGTAGTCTTAGTAAATATTTAACTAATTTTAAAAATTTAAATCAAGCATATAGATTCAGGCACCTGATCATAGTGAGACAACATAGCAAAGCATTATCTGTGCCTTAGACACTTATCCATTTCTACAGCAGCTATTTGTCCCCTGCCTGTTGTGACCCTAGTGCTGAAGGCTCTCAAGAGGACAGACACAGACCCTGCTTTCCTGAATCACATCTTCTAGTGGGAGTCAGGGCAACAAACAGGAGAAAAGAGGGAACAATTTCACATAGTGTAAGTGTCACCATGCTGTAGTAAAAGAGATAACGTGATGGAGAGAAATTTAGGAGAGGGACAATTCAATGGAAGAAGCAGCTCGTTTTTGACTAGTCTTTTCATTTTAATGGTAAATAAAATGTGAACTGTATGAAGGGTGGGTTTCCTGAATGTCATCCTCAAAGGAATGGGCCAAGAGAAATTAAATTGTTCAGTTTAGAGAACCATGTTACTTTGCAGAAGGGAAAAGTAACTTGGGAGAGTTAATAATATTAAGGGTGTGGTAAACAAAGATCCAAGTTTCTAAGCACTGATGGACATAGGCCCAGAATAGTTTGGAAATTTACCCCAGACCATCCAATTAGGAAGAACTGAAGTCAGATACTAACCCAGTTCTCCCTGTCTGGGGAGTCTACCAACTGCCCTGGGGTTAAATCGCCTCTCCGTTTGCATATAGGGAGTCTGTGCTCAGCTTGGGGCTGCAGTTTCCTGCAGTCAAAACCCTGTTTAGACCCCAAACCTGTGTGCCCACCCGCCTGCACCCCTGCTCCTGGTCTCCCAAGCAGCTTCTCCACTTACCTTCCACAGTGCATGCGGCCAGGCAGCAGGCGCCCAGGATGGCCAGGAGGAGAAGTCTCATGTTGGGGTCTTGCTGAGTTCTGTCAGGAGAGAGTGATCGTCGGCCTCCTCGACAGACTCTTTTATTCCTGCAGTGGTCAATACACTTCCTGGGGAGAGAGGGGGCTTTTGGGGTGGGCGTGGAATAGTGGAAAGTCTTTGCAACACTGATGCTTTTTTCTTAGAAAAAAAAAGTTCCTTTGCCCTGTTCGTGCTAACCCCACCACACTATGGTCTTTTCCTCTTCTGTGGTGAACCTGTCAACGAAACCAAATTTATACATAAAGAAAACGTGATAGTCTCATCTCCAGCCACCAGAGTCAGACCTTCCACTGTAGATGTGCCCCACAGCTCTGTCAGTGCCACTGCCCAGCGTGGGGACAGCGTAAAGGACATGAAGAGAAGTGGTCACTGTGGCCCATCTCCTCTGCCTCTTTAAGGGCACTATTAAAAGTTGTCCTTGCACTGTAACTTTTTTTAAAATTTTATTTTGAAAGTATACAACAGAACAAGACAGAATAAAGCCAACTAAGATCGTACAGTGAAATTGGTACAAAACTTCACAGCAAGTTACCGGGATAACAGCAATAGGTATCACAGTATATTTTGTTATCCTTATAATAGTTGTTCTTTCAATCACATATATCAAAATGAGATGAAATATAGAACACTATAGAACTTATCAAAACAGAATATTGAATAGAGCAGTACCATTAATCAGAAAAGAGCAAAATAGTAATAAAAATATTTACCTTCAAAGAGATGGTAGAAGGAAGTCCCCTTATTTGCTATGGTCAACCTCCCAGGAGACACTCAGATTTCTGGTTCCCATTTACTATTGAGCGGCTGGGGGCGGGGGGGGGGGGAGAAGGGGGGCAGAGGAAGTGGGATGTTTGACTCTAGGCCGTGCATCAGTAGGTTCACTATTCTTAGCAGGGAGGCAGGCTGCTTGTTTGGTTTCACAGCGTCCTAAGTTCCAACATGGTGTGGATCTCAGGAGCTGCTGCTGGTTCTCCCCCTGGAAGGGCCGCAGTCTGCCACACTGCCACTGCTTACCAGGGAGGGGAAGTGCTTGACTTTTTTTAAAAAAGAGAAAGCTATGCTATTTTGACAATTTCCTTTTTAATACTTTTCCAGATTTATCTATTATTACACTTACATTATTATGATCATTACAAATGTTTTAACAACAATTTAAATCTTTCCATGTTTTTTCAGCCTTTATATTTCCACTTAGCGCAAATATATCCACATACATATTAAACTATCTTGTTGTTATAATAAGCATCACAGTTGTGGGATCAATTTTCATTATTATGTACTGGATTATATCCCTTTAATAATAATCAGGAGTCCTGGGTTAAATCAAATAATTATCTCTGTAATTCCTCTGTTTGCTATAGAGTCTGGCCAACATATAGTTTTGTAGAATTTGCAATTCTCCAGCAGGATTTCAGTACATCAGGTGCACCACAACCTTCCTGGCACTCATTTTTTTCTGTTTCCACTACACATAAATATTAATAAATCTATTTATTGAATATAGGTATAGTTAAAGGATTTGCCATTGCTAGTATGAATATACGAATTCTTTTTTCCATGATAAATACAGAGATTTTTTCCAACCAGTCTTTACCCTGAACTTTAGAATTAAAGTACTCCTACCTCTGTGGCATTGAGTTTTAATCTCTAAACATCTTTCTTGCAAACTGCTGCTTCTCTTTGACATAATGTTCTCTCTTCCATCCAATTTCTAAATCTGATTTTACATGGGAGTCATCTTAGACTTGTTGAAGAATAGGACTTTGGTATACTGCCGTTAGGAATGGAAGTTATTATAGCCAGTATGAAGGACAACATGGAATTTTCTCAAAAAAAAAACCCATTAAGTTAGAAATAGAACTATCATGTGATCCATATACCCATGTGATCTACTGGGTATATCTTCAAAGCAAAGAAAATGCACTAAAGAGTTGCCAGTCTGACCAGTCTTACTGTGTTGCTATTCATAACTGACAAAAGTGAAATCCACCTAAGTATTAGCAGCAAACACATTCACATACATATTAATGGATTAAATATACATTCACATACATGAATGGATAAAGAAAATGTGGTCTATGTACACAATGGAACACGTTCCTCCATACAAAGTAGAAAATCCTGACTTTTGCAATGTTGTGATTGAACAATTAGGGCACTGTGTAAAGTGAAGTAACACAGACAAACAGAGACAAATGCCACATATTCTCACTCAGATGTGGAACATGAAAGAGTGATTCTTCCAGAAGCACAGGAGAAAATAGTACTTTCCAGGGGTTGTGCCAGGCAGGGAGAAGGCAATAGGGTGATGATATTAGTCAAGGAATACCACCCTCAGCTAGGACAGAAGTAAGTTCAAGAGATCTGTTGTACAAAAGGTAACTATGTTAACAATTTTTTTTATTTTAAAGAGGGTAAGACTAAACATAACAAAGCAGATCAGAAGAAAAAAATGTAAGTGACACAGATTTCAAAGCAAGACAACAGGAGATCAATAGGTGGCTACCATAATGTCTTGTTTTCTTCTACATAATTGTCTATATCTTCACACACAATGAATTTGTACAAAACAAAGTGGTATAAAACTGATCAAAACAGAATAATGAAGGCATTATAGGCCTTCAAAACCTTAACAATATATTGTGTTCTTCTTTTTTTTTTTTTTTTTGTCTTTTTTCGTTTTTATCGGTACCGGGGATCGAACTCACGACTGCCTGCTTGCAAGGCAGGCGCCTATGCCGCTGAGCTAAATCCCCAGCCCCCATATTGTGTTCTTAAAAACTGCTAAGAGATATAAAGTGTTCTCAGCACAAAAAGAAATGAGTCAATGAGTGTGTTAATTAACTAAATACAGTCTTTCTACAAATGCCGTGTACATATGCTTTAAAACATTATGCTGTTCATGGTGAATACAATCCTTTTTTTTTTTTTTATCGGTACCGGGGATCGAACTCACGACTGCCTGCTTGTAAGGCAGGAGTTTATGCCGCTGAGCTAAATCCCCAGCCCCTGGTGAACACAATCTTGTCCATTTATTTAAATAATAAATAACATAAATGGTAAAAAGAAACATAAAATGAAGAGATAATGCCTTTGGCTCCTCAGGCTTTCAATCAAGTAAACAATTTGACTAAATGCTGAGATTTTACTTAGCATATTGAAAGAAAATTTTATAACTTCTCAGTGTGAATTCTTCACTTTTAGTTTGTCAGTACAAATAAAGAAGATTGTATTCAATTTAAATTAGTGCACATGGGGTACTGAGGTTTAATTATATATTTAGCTCTTCAACCCTAATAAATTTCCTGATTTTAAGCACTTGATTAAACGACTGCACATCATGGCATCTCCTCTGAGCCCTGTCAGTTCCTAGCTCACACCTGTAGCGCCTGGATTAATCAGCTTGCTGGATCATTTTTCTCTGTAGCTTTTTCCTCTCCTCCTAGGCTGATCTAGTGAAGCACAGGAATTACAGCAATCCCTTCCCAGTATTTGGTGACCAGCCTCCTTCCTGAGGTTCTCTTTGCTTTAGTCCAAAACTTCCAACTTGCCAACTCTCCCTCTATTTACTACCCAGAGGTGGGATGTGTTCTTTGGTAACATTTTATGATTGAGAAACAATGATCTAGGTCCATCGACAAGCAAGGACAGATGAGACGGGGTGGGTGCAGGGTGCTAGGGCTGTAGCTGAGGAGCAAGGACAGAATGGGAGGATAGGAAGCAGGGAAATGTAATCTAGATCTGTGTCTCATGCAAGGAGTAAATAAGGTTCCCCATGCCCTACCATGGCTGAATATTTATAATTAATTCAATTATGTTCTGGGGGTTCAATTTTAAAAGAATGAATATGAGAGAAAGATTACTGTGACTGGTTTGTTCTCTGAGGCATGCCTCAATATAGTACATCTTAGTAAGGTAATATGTTAGTTTTTATCCATAAATGAAAAGATTTATTGTGCTTTTTTTCTGACAGTGTGATTATTGTAAAGAAGTTTAGACACCATACAAAACATTTTTTAAAACGTGGCATTCACCTAAGTCCTGTTCTCCAGTTCCAAACCCACTGTTGATGGCTCTTCTCCCAAATACCTCTCTGTGCATCTTTCATCCTGTGCTTTTCTCCAGCATCTTATGGTTGTGGGCATAGTTGTGTGTATGTAGTGCCTGAGGCTTTGCACTAATGACGAATGGGCGTTATCCTTAAAACGATGTAAAAATTAAGTAGAATTGTCATCTACTTTTGGTAGATGAGAAACCTGAGGCTTGACACAGTTATGAGATTTTAATAACTCGCGCTCATGAAGTTTAGTGAATTGCAGTGAAGATTTGAACTAGGAGTGCACACACCAAGGCCGAACCAAGAAGCCCTGTACTAGCGTGTATTCTGGTCCACGTCTAATCCCCTAACGATGAATCCTCATGTTCTGTCCTTTTGTCAGTCCTAACCACACAGCACTTAGCATACCATTTCTTTGAACTTTTCATACTTATCTGTACATATCTTTGTTGTAAATTGTCTACAGGAAGTCTGTTCAGGGTATCTATTTCCTGCACAATATTGCTTTCTTAAAAAAAGTGTGAAAAGGTTGAATGTGTAAGAATGAAGCTGGCTGGCTGTACATTCTGAAAAAAATTGTAGTTTACAGTAGGTCAAATAGGACCTACTTTCCAGTCTGCCCAGTAAGAAATAAAAGAAGCTGTTTCCCCAAATCTTTACCAATACATGGTTTTGACAATCATTGAACCCACTGCCAGTGTCTGGGTGCTAAGTCATAACATGCATCTCATTGTTGTTCAATTTTAAAAGCTTTGGCTACTGGTAAAGTAGATAATTTTGAAAGTGTATTATGAATTCCATTTTCATTGTAATGTTTGTCCTTTCTTCTTTTTCACGATAACTATTTTTCTATTAAATTTTCAACAGCAGCAGTGCTAGCAGTACATAAAAGGAAAGGTCTAGGCATTAACACGCTTATGGAGTTCTGACCTTCACCAGGAGAGGCAAACATGTCCTGCAAACAGGAAATGTTGGCCTTGGGGTCTGGCAGTCCTGAGTTCAAATCTTCACT